AGAACGCCCACAAGAACACAAAGAGCAAGCCCTTTAGCGCGACCGTGGGCAGTAGTATAGCTTCGACAAACGGAAAGAGCGGCGGCCATGGCCATGGCCTTTTGGGCGGCATATTTGGACACCGAAGTTCTTCCCACGCAGCTCCGCCCGCGCATTCCATCATTCCGCCCTCTGTCACCTCGCCCGTGCAAAGCAGCCATTCCAACGCAACCAGCGCACGAAGCTCCGCGATCGATACCACAGACCCCTCATGGCAGCCCTTGCTCAAGGAACTGTTGGCCATGGGCATCACAGAAGACCAGATTGAAGAGAATGCCGACTTCATCAAACTGTACATTGAGCAGAGGAAGTCGGAAGAAAAGCTCAAAGACGAAAACCAGCGCCGATCCAGGGCTCCTCCTCCGCCACCTCCGCCGGGTGCGCCCCTCAGCCCCCAGCACACGGGCAGCACAACTGCATCGAAACGCGGACCTCCGCCACAGCCCCCGCCAGCCCGGCGCACGCGACACGATGCATCTGCCAACCGAACCTCGTCACAAAGTCCAGCGCCACACTCGCCAACTCGAGAAGCTACACCTCCCCCAGGGCCGCCCAAGCCAGTCTTCAGAGCGCCTCCGCCAATTGCAGAAGCAGGCAAGTTTGCAAACCAGGCTCCTGCACCGCCAAACCGAGCGCGAGCCTCATCCAATGCAGCGAACCCGGGTCCTCCTCCACCGCCTCGACCGCCAAAGACGCCCGTGCCCGACGAGGAGAGATCGGGTGGAGCCAAGTTCGGTGTGCCTCCGCCTTTCACAGGCAATCGCGTACCTTCAGCACCACCACCCCCTCCTCCAAGCCGAGGACCAGTACCACCACCCCCCCCAGCGAGAGACATTCCGTCAGCACCCCCTCCACCGCTCCCTCCAAAGACCTCAGCTGCACCGACTCCATCGCCGATTCACAACATACCGCCTCCTCCGCCGCTACCACCGTCCGCTTCGCGTCCTGCGCCTCCTCCGCCGTCAGGAGCAGCACCAGTTCCACCTCCGCTACCACCAACGTCCAATGTTGCGCCACCGCCTCCGCCTCCGCCGCCGCCCATGCCAGGACGATCGATTCCACCCCCTCCACCAATGCCCAGCGGTGGTGCACCACCACCTCCCCCTATGCCCAGCAGCGGCGCACCACCCCCACCTCCATTGCCTCCAATGGGCGGTCCCCCAGCACCACCGCCTCCTCCACCACCAGGCCCTGCACCACCAGGCGGTGCGTCTTTACCCAAGGCCCCAGCTGGCAGGGATGGCTTGTTAGCCGATATTCGTGGAGGAGCAAGATTGAAGAAGGTTTCGGATTCAGAGAAGAAGGATCGCAGTGCGGCAGCAGTCCCTGGAAAAGAACCTCCAAGTGGTTCAGGGGGCGGCTCTGGCTCGGGTGGTGGAGAGGCTGGCCTAGCCAATGCATTGGCTAGTGCACTTGCGGCACGGAAGTCGAAAGTTAGTCACAGTGGTAAGTTGATTATATTCTTGGGTAGCATAATGATGATGTGCTAATGTTTCTACAGACGACGAGTCGGACAAGGATGACTGGTAAATAAAGCCATTCAGCAGCTCATTCATATCCAAATCCAATCCCTACGCAAAGCGCCGAGTCATTGAGAGGCTGTTGCATTGCTGGCCCATTGGCTGTATATAGTTATAATTTGGTGGGGAGAGTGCAAGATAAGCCAAAACGGGCAGCATGAAAAGAGAAGGGGATTGTAATAGTGATAGCGATGGGGATGACAGACGAAGAGGATGGGGAGGAGCAAAGCCGTAGTTAGTTAGTTGAGGAAATGGTGGTAGTAGTGGAAGTAGTAGTGGAAGGATAGTTGATACCAAGAATGTTCAATGCATGTATATTCTTCAGTGCTCGGCTCTTGAGTCTGGACGGATGGTTGTGTTCGTGTGGGGGGCCTAGATTTGCGGGCGTGGGTAGCGTAGCCGAGCTGAGGCGGCCGCGGGATGATGCGGGGTAACACGCTGGTGTGCAGTGCGGTAAAGTGGCTGCGATCCGAGTATGAATTTGTATGTAGGGAAGCTCTAGTAGCGCAATGGCAATGGCAAGGAAGAAGAGGCATCAATTGCAGGATATCCGTCAAATCTACTGCTGTGCTGGCGTCGTGAAACACGAGTCGTGCGCGGCATACGGATATGCTCAGCCTCGGTTGACGACGGCGTATCCATCCTCCCGAATTCTGCAAGCCGAGCGTTCTCAACCTGTGCACTGAACCTGTTCAAAAGCCAGTCAGTTCCCTCAAAAGCGTCTAGTACGACTGTCCCTCTTCTCCAGAGCTGCATTGACGTCGTCCGGCACGACAGAAGCTAATCAGACATGTCGGCCTTCAGTCGCAACCTGTGCAGTACCGCTTCACGAAGCCTTCGATCGCGAGCCAGCGTTGTCACCAGAGCCACCAGGCCAATTGCTCTCCGTGCTCTTCCCTCACTGCCAATAACCTCCAGAGCCGTAGCTGCATCGTCCTTCTCCACCATGACAACCCTCAAGAGCGAAGTGAAGCAGGCGCTCGCCAAGCGCGAGTATGATCCTGAAATCAAGGACATGGCCAGCTACATCCACAACACTCCCATCGATTCGGAGCTCGCGGTAAGCTACTGTGAATGTCGCTGTCGAGGATAAAGGCTAACGTTGATTGTCGAAAAGTATGACACGGCTCGCTGGGTGTTTATCGACACGCTGGGTTGTGGTCTCGAGGGTCTGCGTTTCGAGCAATGCAGGAACATTCTGGGTCCTGTCGTCGAAGGAACCGTTGTTCCCAATGGCACAAAGGTGCCCGGTACCAACTACCAGCTTGATCCTATCAATGGAGCCTTCAACATTGGCGCCATGATCCGCTGGCTCGACTTCAACGACTGCTGGCTAGCTGCCGAGTGGGGCCACCCCTCTGACAATCTGGGAGCTATTCTTGCAACTGCCGACTGGATCACTCGTACGAACAAGGCTGGAGGTAATCTCGGCAATGGCAAGATCTTCAAGGTCAGAGATGTGCTCGAAGCCATGATCAGGGCGCACGAGATTCAGGGTTGCATGGCCCTAGAGAACTCCTTCAACAAGGTCGGACTGGACCACGTCATTCTTGTCAAGCTTGCGTCGACTGCTGTCGTATCCAAGATGATGGGCCTCAGCGAGGCTCAGACGCGTGACGCCATCTCGCAGGCCTTTGTCGATGGCCAGTCGATGCGCACATACAGGCACTCGCCGAATACCATGTCTCGCAAGTCGTGGGCTGCTGGTGACGCTTGCCAGACGGCCGTCAATCTCGTGCTCAAGGTCATGAAGGGGGAGCCAGGTCTCCCCACTGTGCTCTCAGCTCCTACCTGGGGATTCTACGATGTCAACTTTGGCGGAAAGCCATTCACCTTCCAAAGGGGCTACGGCAGTTACGTCATGGAGAACGTACTCTTCAAGGTCTCGTATCCCGGTGAGTTTACAATTGGATCCTTTTCCATTTTCGTGGCACAAATTGATCCTGGTGACAGCTGAGTTCCACTCCCAAACCGCCGTCGAAGCCGCCCAGCGCCTCAACAAGAAGCTAAAGGCCATGGGTAAGACCGCCGAAGACATTGAACGCGTGGTAAACCGGACACACGAAGCATGCGTGCGGATCATCGATAAGCAGTTCAAGCCCATGGAGAATTTCGCAGATCGTGATCACTGCGTTCAGGTAAGCTTACACTCGATGACTCAGGTCTGACGCTGACCATGTGGCAGTACATGGTAGCCACCATGTTCGTCTTCAACCGCCTCGAAGCCACCGACTATCCAGATGATAGCGAGGCTGCGACTTCAGCGCTAGTTGAGTCGCTGCGACAGCGAATCAGCTGTGTCGAGGACCCCCAATTCACAAAGGACTACCACGACCCAGAAAAGCGCACCATCTCTAATGCGCTCACTGTCACGCTCAAGGATGGCACAGTGCTGGATGAGGAAGTAGTTGAGGCTCCTCTTGGCCACCGTCTGCGACGAGAAGAGGCCAAGCCTGAGATCCTCGCCAAATACAAGAGGCACCTCGGTCCGCATTACCCGGCGGACCACGTCGACAAACTCGTCACTTTGGCCCAAGACAGTAAGACACTTGACAACATGGACATCGACGAGTATGTCGATCTGTACGTGAAGAACTAGAGATTAAGCCTCGGTTCCGCAATCATAGCTAGATTAAGAGACTTTGTCGTAGGGCATCTTGGCACAAGCTGACGATATGGCCCTGTCGCCAATGCAACCGAATGCAGCCTCAGGCTCTGCGCCTCCGTATATTTTCTGCTCTGCACGTCCCTGTCGCTTGCGCCTGGTAGTCACGTTGAAACGTCACACACGAACGCCGCATTGACCATGTCATATAGTTTTGCAATATGCCATACACGCCGCGTGATCTTAGCCTGCCGACATATCTGTACCACCATAGTAGCAGACGCACCATGACGATTTCTTTCTGACTGGGGTATCTTCCGACCTCTATATCGGAGTTGCGGGGGCATATCGCTCGACCGATAGTTGGGTAGAAGGTTCCGCCCTAGCCTCTTCCCGGGATGTTCGTTCCTCCCCACTAAACATGATTTACGAGGTGAGCCCGGAAGTGGCTTCGCCGTCCGCCAGCCTGTCCAGCTAAGAATATGCTATGTCGGGGCCAGCGGAAGGTCGAGTAAGACAGGGCTCCACACATCGGCAGAGGTGGCGGTCATGGTTGCGGAAATTGGCACCGTATACTCCATATCTCAATTGTGGATGAGTAGCGTTGCGCCTATCCAGGAGCCCGATAGAGCGGGTACCACTGGCGGCTGGCTCATCATAAGTACCCTTTCAAAGAACACCTTGTCGTTTAAAGTACCATTATCAAGCTCTTCTCACTGGACATCATCTTCTCTTTCAACATTTGGCAGAAGCCATCCCTGTCTCATTGTCATTCGCCTCTATAACCTCTTCTCCCCCTTTTTTGGACTTTGCTATCTTAGTCGTGTGCTTGCACAATGTCCTTCACACCAACCAGTACGGTTACCGATAGGAACAGCCTAAATTCGCTCGACAGTGCGGAAAAGGGCCTGTGTGGTAGTGCACTCAAGTCGACAGCACCTGGGTTTGTGTACATAGAACCGAGAAGGTCCTTACTGGCTCCCCCATCATTCCCAGTCTCTCCTGTACACCACGGCATAACGCCCCGTGCAAGCGTACCCGATTTCTCACTCGCCGGCCTATCGTCATGTCCAGTCTCTCCTGTACACCAGGGTATAACACCATGCACAAGTGTGCCCGATCTGAATCTGGGAGCAGGCGGACAAAAGCCTACTGGTGACAAGCCCAAGACTACTGTCAAGGAGACGATTACGGAAAAGCCAAAAAAGCCCAAAGTCAGTCGATGGATTATGTTCAAGCTCTGGTTCAACACGTACCGAAAGTTCTTCACACTCGTTGTCGTGCTGAACTTCGTGGGCATTGTTTGCGCAGCAACCAACCACTTCACTTATGCCGAAAACCATCTCGGCGCTTTGGTATTGGGCAATTTGCTCTGTGCAGTCTTAATGCGAAATGAGCTTTGGTTGCGCTTCCTATACATGGTTGCCATATATGGTTTGAGCGTATGTATCCGTCCGTGCCTCCCGTCTCAAACACCCATCACTGACCCGTCTGAACAGTGGACACCGATTCCCGTGAAGTTGGCAATAGTCTCTATACTCCAGCATGTCGGAGGCATTCACTCTGGATGCGCTCTATCTGGTGCTGCGTAGGTTCATACTGTATCTTCGAATAAGGGGTATGGCTAATGGTCAACACAGTTGGCTCGTCTATAAGATTGTCGACATCATCAAGTACCGTGCCATACAGCACCCTGCAGTCATTGTCAGCGGCATCATTACGAACGTGCTCATTGTAATTTCCATCTTGAGCGCTTTCCCCTGGGTACGAAAGTAAGCTGATGGAGCCCAGACTGCTTTTGTACCACCATGCTAACACCTTGTGCAGCACCTATCACAACGTTTTCGAGAGACACCACCGCTTTGTTGGATGGCTAGGTCTTGCAGTATGTGATTGGAAATGTATTTTCAACAAGATGGGCACTAACATGATCTAGATGACATGGGTTTTCGTGATCATGGGAAACACCTACGACATCAAGCGTGGAGAGTGGAGAAGCGATGCTCACAGTCTTCTCAGTTCACAAGAACTTTGGTTTGCTGTCTTCATGACAGTCTTGTAGGTCTACCTTCAGCCGGAAACCCCTCCCATGACTAACACTTGTCAGTATCCTCATTCCCTGGCTCACACTTCGCGAAGTACCCGTCGAAGTTGAGATTCCCTCACCCAAGGTTGCAGTCCTCAAGTTCGAGCGCGGCATGCAGCAAGGTCTTCTCGGCCGCATCAGCCGCACATCCATCATGGAATACCATGCTTTTGGCATCATCAGCGAAGGCCGCAAGTCCGGCTGCCACTACATGATTTGCGGTGTGCAAGGTGACTTCACTAGAGGCCTCGTTGCCAACCCGCCCAAAACCGTGTGGACACGGCAATTGAAATTCGGTATGTGCTACTATTTTTTGCCCACCCAAAAACCTTATTAAAAAAGCCCCACATACACATGAACTAGAAGCTAACGACGATACTTCTGATTGACAGCGGGACCCGGACACGCCTCTGCCATGTTTAAACGAGGCATTCGCATCTGCACCGGCACAGGCATCGGCGCTGCACTCTCAACCTGCATCCAATCGCCAAACTGGTTCTTGATCTGGATCGGCTCAGACCAAGAGCGCACATTTGGACCCACCGTCACGGGCCTGATCCACAAGCACATCGAGCCCGAGCGCATGATTCTGTGGGACAGCAAGAAGCGAGGCGGCCGCCCGGATACGATGGCTCTACTGCGCGATACATGGAAGAGCTTCGGCGCCGAAGTCATCTTCATCACAAGTAACATGCAAGGCAACGATGAGATGATGCAGGGTTGTGCACAGGAAGGTATGCATGCTTTTGGGACCCTGTGGGACTTTTAAGATTTCCACAACATCTTGCCCATTTTCCTTGTTTTTTTTTGTTTTTCCAAAGTGTGAACTCCTTCAAGTGCTGAGGTGAGGTTTGCGAAAACGCCCGGGGGAAAGAAGTTGAAAGTCAAACATATTAACGGAGTGCCCACGGTTTGTGCCGGAACAAGGGGGGAAGACGTGGTGAAGGGAAAGGGCTGAAATGATCGGCCGGGGTGGTGGTGAGCTGAGTATCCGGAAACCATTATGGTGGGATTTTTTCCTTATGAGAGGGAGCCCTTGTAAGCATCTCCTTTTAATGATTGCTCATTTCGGTTTTAGCGCGGGTTAGATGGAGGACGAGGGGCGTGCGTGTGTGTCTTTTCTGCATTACTACATCATCTTTTTCACATTCTCTCTCCTCGTATACTTTTTATTTTTAGAAAGGGGCCTTGAATATGGGGTCTTGCGTAGATGGGGAATTCGGAAGCGGCATCGTTCTCTCTCTCTCTCTCTCTCTCTCTCTCTCTTTTCAAAGTTTTTACTACTATGTAGATATTTTTTATTTCATTCGCCACCACTGTCAATAATCACAACAAATTCACAAACACAACTTTCGCAAACTTGCCTTCTATTAGAAATCCACAATGGTTTTCCACGTTTAGTAACATGAAGTTCCCTGGGCCCTCGGCACATACAAACCCTTGTTTATACGGACAGCAGAGACGGGAATCTTACCTCATCAATAATATCGCCACGTTATTACCACCAAAACTCTATCGCACACACAGACTGCCACTCGAAGTTTAAACATAAGAATACATCATCAACTACTCATCCCATTCAACAAAAAACCGTAATGATATGCGATAACGCCACAGCAACACTAGTGTCGTTACACGTCAGATTCTATTCTCGTATCCCTTTTTCTGTCTCTCCCTTTGTCGAAAGCTGCGAGGGACGTGCTGGGGGGAGACTGAATGTTATTGATCGCTTGGATATCTCCGGTCATCTGCCTCACTTTCTGTCTCTCTGTATCTCACAAAAAAAAGACCTAGATCGCACACAAAGTCTGATGTACACTACACAGGTATGTACCGATCATCGCGTGACTTCGCCATCACGCAACCTCGGGGATCAGTCTGGCAAGCGCACCATCACGTTATCTTCACCGACACACTCACGCTTTCACAGAAGGAAAAAAGAGAGTGTATACTAGTTTCCAATAAAGACGAGCTCCACTCCCATCTCTACCCGTCTTTCCGCCTGCCCCCAACTTTTTCACTTTTTCCTTCCATCGTCCTTCTTTTTTCCCTTCCGTGCCACAACAGGTTGTTTGCATCCCTTGGATTGCACACCCCTTCCCGTCCCACACCAATCTATCGACAGCAAACGATAGACTCGCCATCGGGAAGCTCCCGTCCGCGGATAGATTAAGCCCAACCCCCCAGCCCCCCCTCGCAGAGCGGCCAGGCCCCCGGAGGCGGAGGGGGAAGGGGGGCACGCAAACTGGGAACATGCAAGGCAACCCGACGACGCCTTTTCTCATGGCGCACCGCGAGGCAACTTGGCCAAAACCCACCGTCGCAAGGTTGAAGTGAGGTAATTAGCGGGGTTATAAGATTGGACTCTTCACAATTCTCCACACCCCCCCCCCCCCAACATATCATACTCAGGTTTTCCTCCTTGGCGTATCGCCCGCACGTTGTCGTTGCGCGATGGGCGTCGTTCGGAACCGGGGAACGGTGGGCCGGGTAGTTGGACATGGGGGGAAAGGGAAGGGGTGGAGGGATGATCAAGCGTGGGGATTATACTATTCGAGAAAAAGCGAGATACGTACGTATGATACACCCCCCCCCCCTTGGCATTAACCGGTGGCGGCGTGCGTGGGGGGCTTGCTGGGCAAGGTGCGCTCGCACTTTTCTCCAGGTTGTTTCGCCATTTTGTCTGAAACCGGGTATTCGGTACGCGGGAAGGGAAAGAAGAAGGTAGGTTCGGTGCGCGCGCGCATCGCTGACGACGTCATGGTGTGTGTGGACGGGGGTTGAAAGGGGGGGGGGGGGGGTTAAAGGTAGCAAGGGTTAGTTGGGTAGTATGAGCATTTTGCCCTACTTAGCCATCCAAGAGAAAAGAAAGAAAAAAACAAGATCAAAGCAAATATTGGGCGTGATGGTGGGAGGTTTTGCCAAAGCAAGACTGTTTGTTTGTCCTCACGGCAAGTCGGGAGCGTAGATCCGGGAAGTAAATGATTTACGTGCTACATTTCCGGTGTGGGTTTTTCCCGTTTTTTCTCGTGGCCAGCCTCAATTACATACTGTATATGCGCAAGGCAAAGTATCCACTCACACACTCTGCTATCGCGCTCCCCGCGGCATGAGTGGGAAAAAGGGAAGCACGCACATGACCTCCGATTTTTTCTTCCTTTGCGTTTGGAACCTACACCTTTGTTTCTTGTAAACGACGAACAAGATATCGTCGCAAAGGACCCCTACCCCCCCTTATCGCCAGTATAAAGAGGGGGAGAGAGAGTGACAAACAAACTTTCTAGATAAAAAGCTCTCACCGGATGTGAGAAACCCTTGTTACATTCTTCTCTTACACGCCTATAACAAGCGGGGGTACATAACACCAATCTTACCGCCTATATTCAATGTAGAAAAGGGGGGGGGAAGCGGATATATACCCTACCCTATCTCCCATACCACTTGACCCGCGACAACCCCAACGTCGTCACGATCTCCATCTTGATAGAGACGGAAATCATATCGACGCACCACCTTGCCGTCTTCTCATACCAATAAAATATCACATTTCACCCTCTCTTAAGAGAGAGAAAAGAAACTTTGCGTAGTAAACCCCCCCCCATCCCACACATTCACATGTAAAACACGCATACACGAACTCTCCTCCATCCCTCATCTACCTCGCGCAAACAAAACGTGAATACAATGCACTCCTCCCCCATCTACCATATTACATCTCCTGATCGGTCACCCACACGCGTCCATATGCATTTTAAAAAAAAATCCCCGCACGTGCACTCCTGCTTCGAAAATCCTTCCATCTGCATCCAGCAATTTGGAGAAAGAAAGAGAGAGAGAGCAGGGGCAAGATTTGCGTTTCTGCCACGTGCCAAAAAACAAAAACAAAAAAAGCAACTAGGATGTAGCATTATCCCCCCCCCCCATCTTTCCGTAAAATGTCTATATAACAATCCTTGTTATATAACTATTCCATCTCACAATGACCCTGGGGGCATCTGCGTTCTGCAATCCGTTGAACATTTACACCCTGTCCTGTCTCCTCTTAGAAGATAAAAGTGGCCTAGTCCCCACCACCTAATCTTGACGAGTGGGGCGGGGATACGCTATACCAGATCCAGATACATACACTATCGCTTCGTTAATCGCTTCTTTTTTTGTATTTCTGTGCAATCATTGTTTTCTTTTAGTTGATGGCTTGGATTAGTAGTGCTAGAATGATGTGCAGTGGTAGGTGGTTGGCAAGGAATATGAGGTGTTTGTGCGTGTATATTTTTCTTTGGGCAAAATATCTTCGGGATCGCGCGGAAGTCAGGCAGTGGCCGTGAAAACGAAGATATAACTTCAAGCAGAACACAACAAGTCATCGATCGAGTGATGTAGGCTAAAGATAAAGGCGATCTATTCGCATTGGTGCCTCAGACATGTCAACTACAAACTACGTACATATAACTAAAGCGGGAGAATAAGCAAAAAGGCACTCGACAAGGGGAATCGCGATGTACATAAAATATAGACAAAAGAAGCTAAATAAGCTAGCAAGCAAAAGACTTCTTTTCACGGAAATAAGGAAACCGAGGCCATGGAAGAGGAGGGTGGTGGTGGTGGTTCCTGCAGTGTCGATCCTGGGTGGCGTCTTGCACCTGATCTAACAGCCCTTGGGATGCTGGTAATCAGAGGACGAAGAAGGAAGAATTGCGAGTTTGTACGATAAAGGACGTGAACAATCAATATATGATCCGGAGAAAGGGTAAAGGAAGAAGACGGTGGTATTTTCCTGCAGCAAAAAAAAATGAAGTAGCAAGTTACAAATGGAATTAGAATTGGAAGTGGAGGCGGAAGCAGAAGCCAGAAAAAATAAATAAACGCCTAGTAGCCGCGAGGCAATTCCAGTTTAAACAAAAGAGGAATATGGGATAGGAAATATCCGGTTGCGTCCGCGAGGACATTGGGTAGTCTGTTTTATAATCTCGGCATGATTATGCGAGACTTGAATTGAAGGCCAAAGGGCAAAAGAGAAAGATGTGGGGTGTGGGGATCGCCGAGACAATGTTTCGATGTTTGGGGGGAGGGGCGGGCCCCCCAGATTTATATGCGGCGATCGAGGCGATCCATGCGGGCCTTGAAGCCTTTTACGATTTCGCCAATGCGCCGGACTTTGTCAAATTCGACCTCGAGCTCATCGATTTCGCGGAGGATGGCGCGGAAGCGGGCGATTTCCGCGTCGGCCATTGCCATTGCGTTACCCGCGCGGTCGTACTGCACTTGGGTTGCTGTTTGGGTCTGTTGGGTGAGCTGAAAGTGTGATTGTTAGCTTTGGAACATCTATAAATGCTGCTGGGTTTTGCTATCTATCCTACTACAAACGCAGACGGAGGAAGGCGGAAAAGAGAAAGAAAGAAACTCACGTATTGCCAGCGCTGCTGAATCGAATACATCAGACGATCAAAATGGGCGCTGAGCGCCTGCAAACTAGAAGGATCCAGGAGGAGACGGCCCTGGCTAGAGGCGTGAGAAGCAGCGCGCGACGAATTGGAGCCTTGCTGCGAGGCGGCAATTTGCTGCTGGAGATATCTGCTCTCGCTCGAGTTGAGGCCCAGTTCAGACACTGGGATGGCAGACATGTGCACATAATTATCTTAAGAACATGGTCGGTCGAGTGGAACCTGCTTGGTCTCTCTCTGTATGTCTGCTTTCCCTCTGGTGCGTATGCGTGTGTGTGTGTGAACGTGCAGGTGTACGGTGTGCAGGCGTGCGTGTGTGTATGTGCGGTGTGACGCTTCGTGCTTAATTTTAGCTGTAGCAATTGTTGCTAATGGGCTATGGAGCTGCTGGGGAACGTTACGACATACATGCGTCGAGAAGGAAATGGGAGACGAGGGGGGGTGGGGATATGCAAGCTGATGTTGTTTAGAACTATGGGGGACGGGGCGGCTGAGGCCCGCCAAGTGGCCGGCTAGGTATGGGGGAGGGAGGGGAGGAAGTGCCAGACAAACCTACCAGCCTATGTCACACCCCAGAAAAGCAAAGACCTGCGAACGCCCAACTATCCCACACCCTCATCTCCTCCTAGCCCCGGCTGCAGCCCTACGCTCTGCCGTCCGAATCCCGCTGGGTGTGCAGCTGTCTGGCGGTTGTGCAATGATGCTTGCAGTTGTGCGGTTGTTCGCGACGCTGCACGTATCGCAATCAAGCGAGCATACAGTACGGCAGTCGGCCGTCTGCGAGCCCCTCCTCTCTCGTCCCTTTCCACTCGTCCACCAGAAGCCGCCACACGACGCTGAACCACCATGACCGTTGTGCTTTTTTGTGCGCTTATTTACCACCCCAGTGCTGTGCCATACAGAGCCACCGAAGCGCGGGACACCAACTCCGCATGCACACCCTCTTGCCTCGACGCGACAAGGATGTTCTGATTGTGCCGTTACGTCCATGGGTGAATGTTGACCCCACCAGCTCCCTTGGAGCGAGGAGGGGGTGCTGAACACAACTCCCGTCCGGCCATGGACGAACCAGATGCAGAAGGTGACAATGCCATGAGCAGCGTGATGAGCCCTTGCCGCTGCGCACATACACCGACAACCACGCCTCAATCAACCCTCTGTTATGTGGCTTTCACAAAAGAGCACAAGACTTACCGAGGCAGCACGCCCCCCGCGCACAGCAGCCCTTCACCACGAAAAAGGCCTGGACAAGCAAGACACACCACCATTTCTGTGACAAAGCCCTCGTGCCTGTCAAGACTCTGGCACATCTAACGCGTATCCTTGAATACTTGGTGACAATAGTCAAAGTTTGTTTCATAAGACAACAAGGTTTAGATTACCCATATTAGCTCCTAGCCTGGGGTATCCTGCTTATAGAAAAAAGGAGAGCTGACTTGCTCATATTCGTTCAAGTCGTCATACATATACAGGTATAGTGGAATACAAAAAGGAAAAAGAAAGGGGTATATACACCAAGCCTGCCAACGCTATGCACAAGGGAACAGATAAAGGAAACGGGGGAAGGTCGTGTGACCATGAATGCTTTACAGAGCGTAGTTCTCGGCGTGAAGGAAGATTTCGTCGCGCCCACTGTCATTCCACACACTTCGTTGCAACTGCGCAACAGTCTCGCTGACACTGATGCGCATTGCCGGTGGTCCGCACACGAAGACACAAGTGCGTCTGCCAAAGTTTTTACTCAGCCCCCTGAGTAGATACGGTATATCTGGGCGTCCGTATTCTGTGCTCCATCCGTCCTTCTTCTTGACGGCGGCGGGCAGAAAAGCAAAGCGCATCAGGTTCTTCTGGAACTCGGTGGGCGTCGAGGGGAAACCAAAGTCGAACCCTTGTGTAGTCTCAGTAGGGTTGTGGACGATGCTGGGGGCCATTGCCCCAGAGCCGGCCGCGACAGCCTGTGAAATATCAAGAGAAAGATTACGCTCCTGACGGCGGGCAGCCAATCCGCGGGGCGCTGGGGCAATGAGGTCGGGGTTCGAGCTATCCGCTGACTCTGCGGAGATACTGCCGTTGTTGTGGCTGGGGCGTGGTGGGGCCAGATGGCCCCTGTTGATAGGCAGCAAGTGCGCCTGTGGGAGAGCGGTAATGCTGTCTTCGTTCTCGCGTCGAAGTTCAGACTCCTTCTCTGGGTCGCCTTGCGCTTCGTCGCGGATAAGCGCTGAGTGTCGTTTGGACGAGATGCCGGACAAGCGATGTTCAGCGATATTTTGGAAAGCGTCGTTGACCTTGTCGTGGAAGTAAAGCGACACTGGACGTGTCGGTGTCTTTGCACTAACCAATCCACCAGCAAGGTTGCGCTTTGCTGCGGTAATGTAGAACTGGCACTCTACTGTCTCGGGTGGTGCATACTCTCGACAGATGCGAAGTTCTTCCTTGAACCACTCCATCGTCTCAGGACGCTTAAGGGCCCAGATGACGTGGATCTTGCGTGTGACTGCCTTGCCGTCGCGCATCTTCTTGATCAAAGACAGGAGTTGTGAGACGATGGCGGTGATGCCGCTACCGCCAGCAATAAGTACAACGTCATCAAAGGCTTCAATGCGTCGTTGCATGCCTCCATAGGGACCATCGACAAAGGCCCGGTAGGTATGCCATGGACCATGTTGGAGGGCTTTCTCACGGACCTTCCTGGTGAAGCCACCAAATGGTCGGAAGACCAAGACCATGTCACGGTAGCCCTCACCGTATTCTGAAGGAAAATCTTCGCTGCAGAGCGAGGCGATGGTAAAAGGGTGGTTCTCGAATACAGAGATGCCAGGCATGCGGAGATAGACGTATTGTCCAGGTCTCCATTTCATCTGAGTTGGAATGGTGATCTTGATGGCGTTCTCTGGCATGAGGGTCACGGCACACTCGTCGCCTATGAGCCATGACATACGTCCTGGACGAGTCCAGTTGAGGTAGAAGAGCCGCATGATGTAGGAGAATAACCATACGGCAACGGTCGAGAGCAGATAGTCCCAAGATGTTAGGTAGTTGTTGCAATGCCAGAACATCATGCCGACGAAGACAATGGAGACTGGCACATGGAGCGCTACAAAGAGCTCGTACATTCGGTGACGGAGAGGGGCGATCGAGTGCATACAAAGGAAACACAGGGGAACAAGCGCCGCGATACCTATGACCTGTCAGTCCCTAACACATGATGGCTGAGAATAGCAAACATACCTGTGCCGTAAATGTACATTCCTTCGTTCTGTTGGAACAACTGTTTGAAAGTTTCTCTCGCACCCTTTTCCCACACCGGGGTAACGTAAAAAGGAACGGTGTGCATGATGCTGAGACCCAGACAAATGTACGCTGCCCATCTGTGCAGCACATTCAATCGTTCGTGACTGATGCCAGTCACCATGGAGATGAGGTTCGCCTTCATTGCAAGCGCGACGATCCAAGGCATGAGAGCAACCGCCATCATGCCAGAGCGAACTGCCAGTGGAGGCGAGCCATAAGCAATGCTTTCCCAGAACAGTGGTTGAGGGAGGGTGCAGTAGAGTACTCCTAGGATCAAAGCAAGTGACACGATCACAATTGTCGACAAAGATGGAAACACAATAGGCCTCCATCCTTTCTTGATCTGAATCTGTGGAGTCGGTCGATAGAAGATGAATCGGAAAAAGGCCACCAGGTTGTTAATTGGGCCCACTGAGGATACACTAGATTGCTGTTTTGGCACACTTGGTAGCGGGCCTTCGCGAGGAAAGAACTTCATGGTGGACTTGTCAGTATCAAGTACTGATAGCTCGTAGTCTGTGGCGGGAGATGATGTCTTCGAGGACTGTAATACCTCTTCTTGATGTAGTGCTGTCCGGATCTTGTCCGTGAATAGGTGGTAGTATCGCATGAGTGCCGCAATTACCAGCAGAGGTATACAAAAGTAGACATATGCCAACGCATATTTTCCACTCTTGTCCCATGGGTCGACGGTGTTTGCTTCTATCAAGCCGGGCGGACTTGTGCTGTTGAACGGGACATGCACCCGCCGTAGTAATGTTGAGACGGATTCTGCGATGTTGTTCTCGGCGTGCGATACAGCGATACCCAGCTGTCCCATGGCCACGCCTGTCCGCGCCATGAGAGCTTCCCGAAGGGCTGGCATCTTCGAATTCGTGTGTGGTAATCGTAACAATCGGCGTGGTGTTTGTTTCGTAAATCACCTCTGCCAGCAGAAGTTGAACCGCAACGTAGACGCGTCCTGGACCGGCGAGTAATGGGTTTGAGAAGGTGCTTGCTTGAAGGACATCCGGGGTCCCGGTTCTACATGGATGATGACAAGGTCAAGGCTCGTTTATTGTGACCATGCGCTCCCGCGGCGCGGCGGAAACTGTATCCAGGATTGATATTATGCTGCGGTGTGTAGGATCGACCCCGTCTAGTAAGAAGCTAGGTCCACCTCTTGTTTTTGCTTTGCAACGACGGTATCCGGTACAAATGCTCGTAGGTGTTATCGAGACATCGGACGGGGCATGGGCGCTGAAAATCAGATAGCGTGCGCGAGCAGGAGCCCAGTTCCTTAAGTCCTGTGGCCAAGTGGGGTGCGGGTGACTCGCAGGGGATAGGATTGTCGTATCGTGGCAGCAAATGGAGAATGATATTCTGCCGCTCACCAAAGCCCACGCTATTGGGCCAAGATGTGATTGCCAGTCCAGGCCGGGGGCGTCTCAAAAGGGCAATCTAGAGCCTAAAGCGCGCCGTCACACTCGCAGCGTGCATCAAAACACATTAGATTATCCAAGGGCTTTGCAGCTATCACCGGAATGCGCTTCATGCACTGGGCCTTGGGCTGTGAGTGGCGAGTAGCGGACGGCAAGGAAGCGGACCGATCTTGGTCTTCCCTTTTAAGCGAGAGGCGCTTTCGGCTGCATCAGGCACCTCATGCTATCAGCGTGCTCCATCTCTGTTCCCTTTTGACATACGGACGTACGCACAAACATGACGGTTCTCCATGTCGAGCAGCCTTTGCAGGCGTTGCACAGCGCGCACTGCCATGTCGTGTACGTGGCCCTCTTTTCCATCTCATGTGAGACATTTCATCATGTCGGGGCCGGAGCATAATCCTGCTCATCAGTCTAGGGCTCTAGCGTAGTCGTCGAGGGAACAAGACAGAAGCCGCAGTCGTATCACAGACCTTTGCCTGGGTGTAGGGTTCCCGTCCGTCGGTAGGGCCAGCTCCGCTTGGTGGATTAGCGGATATCAGCATGGGGCTTGTCCTTCGTTCGCATGACCGCTGGATGAGCGAATTGGAGGAATTGGGCCCTGAAGGCCCTGCTCAGGCTGCTTGCAGCCATGCACGGGAAGAGCGAGACGGTGGAGCGGGGTGGTGGTGTTGCGAGCCTTTGACTGGACGTCGATGGACATTGTAAGCGCCGGCCACCCTGACTGGGACTAGCGTGCAAACAAGCTTTTCGAGGCCCGCCCGCCTGCCCACATCCGATCCTGGTTGGCTGCAAATCTCCATCCAACTTTGCACACCGTCCAGTGCTGCGATGCACTACAGCATGAGCGTTGAGCTCGCCGCAAAGCTCGGCACATGGCTTCAACAAGTAATTGGAATACTTGGTCAAGAGCTTCACCATACCGCCGAGCTTCGGCTGTCTTTCCGCTCCCTGACCCAGGCACCTGTCCGGTATGCACACTAGCAAATGCCACCAGTCCCAAATGCCACTCTGCGAGCTCGCATTCGTCAAACGACCAAGAAGCGGTCACGGCTCGGCATCAATATTCGTACACTTGGTCCGAGACGATGAAGATTCCATGATGCACTCACTGCCTCAACGTCATCGCCTCGGCCGCCCAAGATGTGACCCATTTCGCATCTGATCTCTACTCAACCGAGTAAAGTACAAACAACCAGTCCATCACCAAGCAACCGTTAGCCGCTCTCTGGACCCTTTCGAGGCCGCCCCGCACGTTAACGCACATGGAAGATGCCTAACCGCCAGCCCTACGACCTCAGTCCGCCCCAAGGCTATTCGATTAGGGCTGCGAGCCTTGAAGCTGTCAGCCCAAAGTGCCGGATTTTCAGGCACAGGCTCGC